AAGTTCTAGTCCCGTTGGGGGTTCTGGGTTCTTTACACACACTCCTCCAAAACAGGTGCTTCACTGACTCCTAAGACTGTTATTCCAGGTCCCCAGAAATCTAGGCATGCAACCAAGATGACCACTTAGGAGCACGGATATGGTTACTTACTAGTCTCCACATACACACCACCTCCCATCACCACCACATGGAATTAGAAAGTGCTTTCTTTGGATGAAGATGAAATCAAGAATTCACTAATGTCCCCCAAAAAGGGGGGCACACTGGTGAGAGTCAGCGCCCAGAGCCATCAGGGGCTTTAAGCTCGTTGCCCACTGCTGTGGTGTGGACAGCTGAAAGCCAGGCCCCAACAGGCATCTGGGGTTGGGGGGGGGGGGGGGGAAACCCAGACTCTACTTCATGCTCTGCTGGAGAAGGAGGGGCAGTCTCCTGTACCAGTCAGATCCAATTTGACGGTACACACACACACACACACACACACACACACACACACACACACTTTTTCTTCTTCTTTTTTAAAAAAAGACTACTTCAGCCGTCGCTGCCCTCTGCCCTCGGCCCCCTGCCTGGGGTGAGCCGTCGTGGCCTTCGGCCCAGGGCGGGCTGCGCTTGGCCCCCGGCTCGGGGCGAACCGTGGCGGCCCTCAGGAGCAAGAAGACAAGTGGCTGTAACCCAAGACCACCAGTAAGGTGATAAAGCGTCCTCCCTTCCCCCCTTTATATCTACGCCCCTGTTCAGCATGAAGAAGCCAGAGAGTCAGCATCCAATTCCCAAATCAATAAGACAGTTGGTTTAATTACTATTGGAAAATGCTTGTCATTCCTCTGTAGCATCTGGTCCCCACTGGACCCTCATCATTTCCTTCACCTGCTCCCCCCACCGACCAAACTGTGCAGCTCTGCAACTGCATCCTGGCCCATCCTCACCCTTCTGCCCCCAACCCTCACCTCCTTGTACCCCCAATATGTTTTTCCCAATAAAAAAATATTTTTAAAAAAGGGGGGCACATAGGAAATGAGGGGCTAAAACAGAAACATTAAACTGCTTCTGGAGAATATAGGATAATTGATGCCTTTGAGCTATGGTGCTGGAGAAGAGTACTGAATATACTATGGACTGTTATGAGAACAAATAGGTTTGTCCTAGAGAGAGTGAGACCAGGCTGCTCCTTGGAGGCAAGGATTCTGAAGCTTTATCTAACATACTTGGGACATGTTGCAAGGAGGGACCAGTGCTTGGAGAAAGATGCCATGCTTGGGAGTGTGGAGAGACAGCACAAGAGAGGAAAACCCAGGATGAGATTGGTTGATTCAGTGACTGGGGTAATGGGTGTAGGTGTGTCAGAGACAACAAGGTTGGCACAGGATAGAACAGGGTCCAGAGTTGTTATACATAGGGTCACTATGAGTCATAGGCTACTTGACGGCACATAACAACAACAGTCCATTTACAACTATCCTGGTACAATTAACCCCATGGAGACGTAGCCAGGAGCAAGGAGACCATTGTCTGATGATTCCCCTCTAACCTACACTGGGTAGGTGGGTAGGTGCACGTGTGGTTCTCTGCTGTGCAGGCTCCCAACAAGGTGGTTGACTTTCCAAATCCCCAAGACTCTAGAGGAGCAGACAACTACCTGCTCTTCAGCTTGGTTCCTCAAGCAAAGTGAGGAGATCACCAGGGTGTGATTTTTCAGCTTCTTTATCCATTCGCTCTCCCCCTCCCCAAAAAATATCTTCCAAGGCTCAAGATAAGGTAGTGTTGGGAAAAGAATGTGTATTATTCACTAAAGCTGAGGATGGGAGAGACTGTTAGCTACTCCCTCATGTTGTTGTTCTGTAGCGTGGAGTTGGAACCTGATCCTCTGGCCAGTTTTTGGGGGCCGTAATTCGCACAAGAGGTGATGGCCCACCTTTCTCTCACAGAGCCGCTGACGGGTTCAAACCATATTCCCTTGGGTAGACAGCACAATTCCTTACCACTAAGCCAACCAGACCTCTCTATTCCACTCATATCTCATTTATGATAGTCATGTAAATTTTAGTCATATAGCTGCCCAGTTAAAGACTGTACTTGCCCGCTTCTTTTGCAGCTGGATGTTGTTGTTAGGTGCCATCCAGTCGAGTATGTCTCATAGCAACCCTAAGGACAACAGATCGGAACCCCTTCTTATCCCATGCCATCCTCATAATCTCTGACATGCTCAAGCCCATTGCAGCAGTGACTATGTCAACACACCTAGTTGAAGGTCTTCCTCTCCTTCACTGCCCCTCCACCTTACTAAGCATGATGTTCCTCTCCAAGGAATAATCTCTCCTAGCAACATGCCCAAAGTATGGGAAATGAAGCCTCACCATCTTTGCCTACAAGGAGCACTCTGACAGCACCTTCTCCAAGACATATGTTTCTTTCAGCAGTCCATGGCATAGTCAGTACTGTTCTACAACACCACAATTCAAATGCATCAATTCTTTTGCTGTCATTTTTATTCATTGCCCAGCTCTCAGATGTATAGAAGGTGACTGAAAAGATCACATGGTCTGAATCAGGTGCACCTTAGTCCTCGCATTGACACCATTGCTCATCAATAACCTGGAGAGGTCTCTAGACTTTCCCAATGTATAATTATGTTCTGTTTCATGGGATGCAAGTAGAAAGAATGTCATCAAATCCCTGGTAATCCTTTCATCAGTAAACAGAACTCACTGTTACTGAGTCAATTTTAACTCATGGCAAAACTCCATTGGGTTTCCAAGGCTGTAAACCGTAACAGGAAGAAACGTCTTCACCTTTCTCCCATGAAGGTGGTGGGTTCAAAGTGTCAAACTTTCAATTAGTACAACACTTAAGCTACTATGCCATCAAGCTCCCTCTTGAAAGGCTCCATTTCAAAAGGGGAAAAAAAACCTACCAATTGTTCTTACAATGACCTACCAAGTCCTAGACCAGCAGTTCTCAATAAAATGTTCTGTGATGGGAGAAGTATTTTAGAACTTGCTCTAATACTATAACTTTGAAATGTGGCCCATGTAAGGAAATGAGTTCATAACTTTAATTAGCCAGTTGGCTGCCATTCTGAACATTGTAGCCCTAGCTGGTCCTGCCCTGCTCCTTATCTCAACTTCTTCACCTTCCACTGTTCTCTTCACTCTGCCCTAGCACACTGGCCCCCAGAATGCCCCCACTTTAATTTTGCTCTAGTTCTTCCCTCTTTCTGAACACTCTTCCCCAGATAGCAACTTGGCTAGTTTCTCTACCTCCCACATAAACCTCCCCTTTACAGTAAGTTCTACCCTAACTACCCTCTCAATAGGGAGCTCTTATGGCCTAGTTGCAAGAAGCTCCACTGCAACCCCAAAGGCACATAGTTTGAGGCCACCAGCTGCTCTTACTACTTGATACCAATGTTAATACTCATTAATGCTACCACCTGTCCTCCAACACATGCACTCCAGCTCCCTTTATTGTACTCTAACTTTTCTCCTCCCACAAAGTACTTAAGGCCTTCAAACATACTAGCCTAGTTGTTTACCTACGTTCTTTATTTGACTCTCCCTGCTAGAATGAAAACACAAAGGGAGAAATCTTTGCGTTATTCTCTGCAAGGGTCTGGCACAAGGTCCAGCACCGAGCAGAGGCTCAAGGAATACTTAACCAAATTGGGAGAAAGAGAAGGGAAATATCCCACCCCCTCCCTTTCCTTCTCCTGAGTGAAAATGTGGACATGGCACAAGAGCTGCAGGACTTGGACTGAGTTTAAAGTTGAGTGGAAAAATAAGATTAAACAGGATGCTGTTTATACCAAGTAAAGAAAATTCTATCTTGTCTAAGCCACTCTCCTAGTTGAAGGTTTGTTCCAGTACCAAAACAGCTTATTAGGCTGAATCCTAGATAAAACCTTGAACAACTGACTTCCTTTCTCGTTCATCTCCAAAATAGAGCTAACACCCACCCATTAGGTTCCTGGAAGGATTAAAAGGCATTGTACACTTGACATCATGAGGACCTCCATTAACAAATAGCTGCTCAAAGCTGCTGCACAAAATGTGATTTGGAAGTGCAAAAAGGGCCAGACCCCCGAATTACACTGAAGTGAGACAGCATGTGGAGTGAGTCAGGTGGTTGTTGTCAGATGCTGTTGAGTACAACTCACAGAGACCCTATGAACACCCATCTGCACCCTGTCCTATTCTGTGCCATCCTTAGTCTCTGACACGCTCACCGTGTCAAGCCACCTGGTTGAGGGTTTTCCTCTCCTTTGCCATCTCTGCCTCTTTTTAAGCATGATGTCACTCTGCATATCTCAGAATATGAAACTCAGTCAGGGCTTGTCTCTGGCACCCCAGTGTCAGGTGCACCAAAGGTGGGAGACACTCAACCCTCAGCACACCCTTCAGCTCCTCAGGCCTGTGGGAAGTACCTATCCTAGAGATAGGTCAAAGGAACATAAAAGCTTCCACTTGACTAGCAGAAGAGGGAGGACCTATAAAGTCAGAGCATTATCAGGAAGTTGATAGAGCTGGAGTCACTGTGTCCCTGCCCTATCTGATTACTAGAAAGCTCCCTCTCCTGCAGAGAGGTGGGCATATCCCAGCAACTACTTGTCCATGGCAGCTCCAGAGCCTGAAGCTAAGAAGTAAGTATCCCTCTTCTTTTCCCAGATAAAGTTCTCAGGAACAGTAACATCACCACTTGGGGAAGAGGAAGACAAGGACCACAGGGACTGTGTTTTGGATTACAAAGTTTATTTGGATTTCCTCATTCCTAAACTTCACACTGCATGATGAGGAGGCCAGGCGGGAGGGAGCGTGGGCCTCTGGAGGGCACCCACAATCACCCAACCAAGCCAGTCTGTTTCCTTGTTCACAAGGGTAGTGGACCAAGGAGTCTGAGGTTCCAGCTGCCCAGCGCTGACATGCCTGTCTTCTAAGCAGGTCTGGGAGGGGCGTGAGCTCTAGGACTCAGAGCTCTCCTCAGAGCAAGTTTTGGGAGGTTAGCGCTAGGACTCAGAGCTCTGGGGCTGAGGTTCCTCCATGAGCTGCCGCAGGTGAGAGGCCGCCTTGTCTAGTTTCAACAACTCCAACTGGAGGGAAGAAAGCTGACAGAAGAAAGGAGATGGTGAGGACCAGCCATGAGGCCTGGCCCCTCTCCATCTCTGTACCCTCAGGGTGCCATGGGCTCCCTGGGAAGTCTTCACTGGCCTCACCCTTTGCTGCCTCTGAGTATCAGTCTCCCCCTGCGATGGGGTCTGGGCTATGAGGCCCTCAAGCTGCTTCTGTAACTTGTGTCTTCGGGCTGCCAGCAGAGGTAGATGGGTCTGGGGGTCCACCAGGCCCTAGGAAAGAACAGGCACATGACACCTCACGCCTTCGTCTTCCCCATTCTAAAGTACCCTCTCCACCTTTAAAGGGCAAACCCCACCCCTGGTTTCTTCCCAATCTCTTCCTCCCTTCGCTACAATCTTCTCTGGTCACCTGTAGCTCCATGAAGATCTGAGTGGTATCACTGAGTGGAGCCTGGACCCAGCCAGAGGGAACAGCAGAGCCTGGCGGAAGGAGACCCACAGCCCCGCAGTGGGCCAGGGTGCCCAGCGGCTCCAGGAAGCTCTCCAGGAGGGCCTGCTCGCCCAGCTCCGAGCTCTGCAATAGCACTGGGGGAGGAAAGGCTGAGTGTCAAGTGTCCAGCCTTTCTCCTTCCCCGCTCCAGGGTTTGTCCCACCAGCCTGTCCCTGCTCCCTACCAGCCCCTTCTTCTCTCAGGCGCCCAGTCCCCAGAACCCGCCTCACCTCGGGGCCGGGCCTTGGTGAGCTGGTATGTGGCTCGGAGAGCTCGAAGCGCCTGCACCGTCTCCTGGACCCGGGAGAAGCACTGCTCCAACTCAGGCTGACGCCAGTGTTCCTGGAAATGGGAACATGGACCAGAGCTGAAAAACAGACTCCAACCTCCAGCAACCCTCTCCATCTCCTCAGGGCAACAAGATCTGTCCTCACCCCAAACAGAAGCCACTATCTCAAAAAATGTTGTTTCTGTTCTTATGTACCGTCCACTCAGAACTGACCCATAGGTGACCCTCCAGCAGGTTGTCAGAGGCAATAAACCACATGGAAGGAGAATGCTCACCCTTCTCCCATAGAATAGCTGGTAGATTCGAACTGCAGGCCTTTGTGTGGCAGTGCAACTCCTTCCCCCCACCCCCTTAAATAGCTGTTTATTGGCAGTGGGTTGGAAAAGGTGATGGAGTTAGCAAACAGAGACGCCACCACACACCAATATCACAAGGGCAGCAAGAGTGCTGGGAAGGAGCAGCCTGAAGCCCCAGATGAGGCCCTTCTTCTCAAGTGTTAAGTCTAAGAGGGCACTGGGGTCTGGAGTGTCGAGGGGGGTGGCCTTAGAACACCTCCACTTAGTAGGCATGGTTAGAGACAAAGAGGGACTCGCTGACTGCGGCCCCGGCCTCACCGCTTGGGCTCCCTCTTTTAACATATGGTAAAAAAATGGAGTCACTTGAGATGTTAGCTAAGCAGTAGTTGACGGCTACCAAGCTGGCTCTAGCTAAAGATGGAAAACAGTCCAATATAAATATAACTTAAAAAATATGTTACTCAAAATTCACCAAGCCAAGAGCACAAAACCCTAACCACTAGACCACCAGGAGTATCAGCAAACCCTCTGAGGAGACAACTCTCTCTCCCAGCTCCTCCCCAAGATGCTGTATTTGTGACTCACCAAGCTGTGGGCACTGGGGTATGGGGCAACACAGATGCTGGGGGCAGAAGGGCAGCCTGGCCTGGTGGGCAGACGCTGCCAGAGCTCCTCGGCCAGGAAGGGCATGAGTGGAGCAAGGAGGCGGAGGCCGACGTCAGCGCAGGAGAACAGGACCTGCGCAGGCTCTGAGGGGCGGGGGGTGTGGGCCAGCACCGGCTTCACTGCCTCCTGGGAAGAAAGCCAGCAGGTCAGAGGGTGAGCCTCAAACCACCTCCACCTTCCCGACACGCAGAGACCATATGGATAAAGAAGAGTTGCTGAGAGAGCGGAAGGGCAGAAGCACTGACACCAGTAGGTGCCTAGGGCATGCTCTGCAGTGTGCGAAAGACAGAGAGGTCCAGGACAGTTATTTTCAAAGGCAGGTGGAAAATATCATTTTCAGAGAGGCAAGTGTACTTCAGGAAGCAAGGCACTGAGGGTTTTATCAAAAAAACAGAACATGAATTTTTTTTTTCAAAAGGTGAGACACAGTGATTTAGGACAGTGGTCCTCAGTGTCAACCTCAACTTGTGAGAAATCAAAGTTCTCTCCACCTTCACTACCAACCTCCTGAATGAGAAGCTCTGGGGCCTGGAATCCTAGCAGGACCTCTGGGTGCTTCTGAGGCAAATATAAAGCCTGAGGAGCCCTGCTCTCAAGACCACTCCATCCTTCCCCCAGGCCTCTCACAAACCCACGCTCAGGATTACAGGAGACCCCTTCAGTCTCTAAGCCTCATTTCCAGATTTGTTTCCTCCTTCCTCTCTCACCCTCAGGTGACAAGCAAGGAACTGCCTCGGCTGCCCTACAGAGAAAAAAGGCCCAGGAAAGGAGAAAGATACTTCCTGTCTCATCTCCTTTCCTTTCTTGAGGAGACAACGGGAACTTGACTTTGGAGTCCTTTGCTGTGGAACCTGAATTTAAGGGAATTAGAAGCAGGTCTGAGGGTGTGGAAATGCCAAGCCTTGGCCCTGCTACACTCACCAGGTAGATGTCACAGAGGTTGTGGAGCCAGAAGTGGTGCAGGGTGTGTGTGATGAGAGAGAGCTCCTGGGTGAGGAAGCCCCGCTCACACTCCCGGGCAGTGAAGGCCAGGCGGCTCAGGACCCAGGCATCCATGGGGGATGAAGGACACAGCTGCAGGGAGAAGGGGTTTGGAGTAGAAAGGGCTTCCCTCCTGCTCACTGCCTCCTTTCCCTCGGCATGTTTTCCTCAGAGCTGCCTTCCATAGATGCTGCTCCCCGATGGATGCACCACTTCTTTTCTTACCTCCTCTGCAGGCTGAGGTACAAATTTCTCCCCTAGGACATTGAGGATAAAACGCAGAGCATTCCAGATCTTGTTGCAGAAATGTCGGGAGTTCAAGACCTCTGAGACAGACAGGTTCAGGTCGCCCCCTGTGTAGGGAGAGAAACAAAGGTGTTTGTGTGTGAGCAGAAACAGCAGAAGCAGCCCCTAAGTCCTGCCCACTCTGCCTTTTCTGCACCCCAATACCTCTCTCACCCAGGGCTGGCACAGGCTTACCCATGGCTCCATGGGAGCACAGAGTGAATCTCAAGGCATCCGTCCCACACTCAGGGATCCCGTGAGGGAAGTCCTTTCTCTGTAACCAGAAGAAAAGAGGGCTGGCTGGTACCTATGAGGCTTCAGGGCCAGAAACCTGAGCTGTGGGAGAAACTGGTGGCTGTAAGATCCAACTAATGATCTTCCCCTGACAGCAGCAAAGATGGGAACAAAGGCCCACTGCCCTAAATCACAACCTCTCAGCTTTTAAATATTCATGTTCTGTTTTTTGATAAATACTCAGTGCAGTTTTCTTTCCCTCTCCTCTCCACCCCCTGCAATGCACCCACCCCGTTCCAGATTATTGTTTTACGTATGAGGCTTAATCATATATTCTTTTCAGACAGTTCTTCCCCTCATCTATCCACTCTTTTCCTATTCTCTAACCCCTCCATGTCCTATTTTATAACAGTATTATGCAGTATTTGTCCTTTTGTGACTGAGATATTTCACTCAGCATCATATTCTTCAGGCTTCCTGTTTTACGAGTTCATCGTTTTTCAGTGCTGCATAACATTCCATTATGTGAATGTGCCATAGTTTTTCTGTCCATTCATTTGTTGTCATCTGTTTGCTATTGTGAATAATGCAGCAATAGACATGAGTGTGCAAACAAACAAACAAACAAAAATACTAAGTGTGTTGCTCTATTTGCTTCTTGAAAAATACTCTCCACCTGCCCTGAAAACCACTGTCCTAGATGCATGAAAATGGTTAGTCCAAAGGACTAATGGACCACACAAACCCCTCATGACTCTGAGACAAGAAGAACTATGGTACCCGCCAACAACTGCTGACCACCCTGAAAGGAAATGCAGTTGGAGATCCCAGATAGAGTGGGAGGAAAATGTGGAACAAAGCTCCAAATAATAAATATAAAATTAGCTTTACTGGTCTGATAGAGACTGGAGGAACCCCTGAGACTAGGGCCCCTCGTCATCCTTTAGCCCTTTAAGCCACCCCACTGGCTCAACTTTCAGCTAAATACACATATCCATGAGGTAAATAATAAGAACAGGGAGGCAGATACTCCCCATTCAAGATCAAAAAAGGCTACATCTGCCCAGGGATAAAGCTGAGGTGGCAGGAAGGAATAGAAAAGGAGGATGCATGGAAATGGTAAACACAGTGAAAAACTGGGGAGAGTGCTGTGACGCTGTGGGGACTACAACCGTCAAGCATCAAAATGTGTATGAATGGTTGGATGACAAACCAGTTCACTCTGGAAGCTTTCCTTCAAATCACAATAAAAAGCTGTTAACCAAAAAGAAAGGAGGGAAGATCCTGGTGGCCGTGAGCTGGAAGCTGGGGTGCAGAGGCAGTAGTAACTCACCTGAGCAGCAGCTGCGACTGCCAGCTCTGTGGGGTCCAGGTTCCCATTCTTCAGCTTCTCCTGCAGCACCTGGGGAGGAGTGAGTGGTTCAGAGACCCTGCTCCCAAAGTCAGTGTCCAATGTCCCCCATTTCTGTCCTCCCAGTGGCCCCCCTACTGGCTCTGTCATGCAAAGATGGCCCCCTGCACCTGCAGCTCCGTCCCCGTGATGAGATCTCGAGGGTCCAGCACATTCCCCAGGGATTTGCTCATCTTGCGGCCCTGCCGGTCCCGAACCATGGAGTGAAGAAGCACCTGAGGGCAGGGAAGGTGTCAGGAGAGAGCACCCTGGAAAGCCTGTCCCCTTGGGATCTCTGGTCCCTGCACTTTGGGGATTAGGAAAGGAATCAGGAACACGGGGGAAACTGCCTTGGGCGCTAGCAGTAAGGAGGACAAGCCAGGAGTCAGAAAGAAGGTAACCAGAGGCTGTTACCTTGTTGAAAGGGAGCTTCCCTGTGAGCTGGGTCCCCAACATGACCATGCGGCCCACCCAGAACAGCAGGAGGTCACTGCCCGTCTCCAAAAGTGAGAGAGGGTAAAATCGAGTGAGGTCAGGGGTCTAGAAAAAGAGAAAAGCAGTAAGTTGCCCTGGCACCTGGGCCTCCCCAGCTCTTCTTGAGACTCCCCAGGCACCCAGGTGTACTCTTTCTGTATCACCCCCAGTCCAGGAATACTCGCTCCCTCTCAACCCACTTCACCTCTCGTGGCCAGCCCAGAGAAGAAAAGGGGAAGAGAGCTGAAGAGAACCATGTGTCCAGGACATCAGGATCTGGGAAAAAAGCAGGGAACCAGGACTACAGGAAGCTCAGCTTCAAGGACCTTAGACTGCTACTGCCCACCCTTCAAACCAACTCCAACACCACCCCCAGGGACCAGGAGTCTGGTCCTTTGCCCCCTCCCCACCTTTCCCAACTCTAATTCTCCAGCTCAGATGTGCTCCCGTCAAAGGCCTGGATGGCTCAGGTACTCACCCCTCTCCAGGGTCAGCTCCGCCCCTGGTCTCCCAGTTAGCTCGGCAGCTGCTTGTCTTGCCTCAGCCTCTGACCGTCCAACCACCCAACAGCCTTCCCCATCTCCCTGCAAGTAGTCAGGGGTGAAAGGAGAATGAGGAAAACCAATGGCAACTGATAGGTATGAAGCAGCACCATTGCCCACTCTCCCTGAGTCTTAGGCTGGTGGGCACCCTCAAGGGACAAGATGAAGAGACAGGATTGGGGAGCTTTATTTCACACATAATTACGTGACTGACTCTTAGCCTAAGGATTTTTCCTCCCCCGCAGCCTTCAGTAGCTCCTTTCCACAAACCTCTGCCTGTTCCTCTACGACCAGGTAGGCAGGGATCCGATGGCCCCACCACAGCTGCCGGGAGACACACCAGTCCCTGCCGAGAAGACACCATTTCTCAACATGACCAGTGCGCTGGCCCCGTTTCCATTCCATCTTCACAAGGGCACCCCTCAGACTCACCCAATGTGTGAAAACCAGCGCTGCCAATTCTTCTGGTGGAAGGGTGGCTGGAACTCCAAGGCCCCCGACTCCATGGCCTGGAGAAAAAGAGGCCTTCAGGGGTGCTTCCCTTCCTGGAGTGCTCCCCAACATGAACAAATGGCTCCCAAGGGTTTTCTTAAAAAAACTAGAGAGGACGTCCCATACCCCCAGTGAATGTCCCAGGTTTGACTTGACAATTCCACACCATAGCCACAGCTAAACAGAACTTCAGACAGGGTTTCTTCCAGCCTCATGGTTCCCTATTCCAATTCTCAGGGAGCTCCCCAGTCAAAGACCTAAGAGTTCTTCCAGCATTGCAGACTCACCGTGGCGGCCTGGTCCCCCATTTCTCGGCAACGGACAAACCACTGGCTCTTCAGTAGGTATTCAATCACATCCCCAGATCGGCTGAAAGTGAACAAGGATTAAGTGCACCCCACCTCCAGCCTTGTGCCTACCTCCCAGGGATGCGGGGCTTTCCACATGCCAGGCCTCAGTACCAAGGGGTCAGCGGTTAGTAAAATTGACTCAGAGCTTATGTTCTGGTGTTGGGGCGCACAGCCAGGCCAGTGACACTGCAGCTGCCCAGTCATTCCCACTGGGGGTTGTCCCTAAGCAGAGGAATTAAAATGGGGCTACCTGCAGATGGGCAGCACCATGGGGTGGCTTTGGAGCCCTCGAAATAGCCCCCGCTCACTCAATGCAGACATAACCTTCTCCCGGGCCACAAACCGGTGAACACCCTTGGAGGGGAAAAAAAGCAGCAAGAATAAAGGCCAGAGGCCTGGAGGAAAACAAGAGAGTGCAAAGGGGTAGAAAACACTGAGGCCGGTGCCACCTGCAGCCAGTCCCCGCAGACTGAGGTCATGGTCCCATCCTCTGCGATGACACTCAGGGGGCTCAAGCCGTGCCGGGTTCCCATCTCAGCGTCAGCAGGGCTGTGAGCTGGAGTCACCTTCACGGCTCCTGGAGTGAAGAGCAGCAGTGAGCACTTAACCTTGCCTTTCCCAACTGTGTCACCACTGCCTCCTCTACGCCTTCCTTTCACGTCCCACTCGCCTCAGACTGCCTTAGACGAGGATTCTTCTTCCCCATTCTCTTCTAGCCTCTCTTTTCCCTAGGACACCTGGCTTCCTTCCCTCCTCCCCAGCCTCCATTCACCTGTGCCCACATGTGGCTGGACAGCAGAGTCGGTGATGAGAGGGAGAAACTGCCCTGTCAAGGGGTGACGAAGCTGCCGCCCATGCAGATGCTGAAGGGAAGGGAGAAGGGTCAAGGCATGAGAGTCTGTAAGAGGGTGAAAAGTCAGAAGGTAAATAATAGAGCAGAGGTTAGCAAACTTGCTAAGGGCCAGAGAGAAAGTCCTTCAGATTTTGTGGAGCAAGGGGCAAATTCCATTTCTGTCACAATGTGCAGATATAGATAATACAAAAATAAAAGAGTGTGGCCAGTACAAATACAGGGAATAGGCTATATATGACACAGGCCATAGTCTTAAATGCCTTAAGCAGGGGGAAAAAATGTAACAGACGGGCATAGAATCAGAGCCACCAGAGAGCTGAGATAAGAGAAGAGGTCTTAGCTCTCTAGTGGCTCAAAAGGAGTGGAGACAGGAGAGAAGACACGATCTTAAAAGGAAAGGAAGGGAAAGGTATGTATAAGGCAGGTGGGCCAGGGTGGCAGGGCCTATGGTTCATTACTGTGTATCGGGAGTCATCGGGATGAACAGCCACAGCCACGTCTCCAGGCAACGTCTCTGGTCTCGTGGTTCCTACCACAACCTCTTCTCCTGAAGACAAACAGCAGTGCACTTACACCTGGTCACCACCTGCTCCTCTCAGTCGGTATACAGTTAAGAACTGGTAAAGCGAGGGGGCTCGTCAAGGTTGAACAAGCCCCAGGAGTATCCCCAGGAGTATATAGAGAAAATTAGGACCAGCATCTGTGGAAGCCTGGAGTTTCCCTATCAGCAAATGGCAGGAGTCCTGAGAGGGTACCTGGTGCTAAGAATTCTTCAAGGACCTGAGTAAGTGAAATAGGGGCAGATGCAGAAAAAAGTAAACAGAGTCCATGCTTAGCAGCCCTGGTGGCTTAGTGGTTAAGCACCTAGCTGCTAATTGGAAGGTAGGTGGTTTGAATCCACCAGGTGCTTCCAGAGGAAAGATGTGCCGCCTGCTCCTATAGATTACAGTATTGAAAACCCTGTTGGGGGTGTGTGTGTGTGTGTGTGTGTGTGTGTGTAAACCCTGTTGGGGTGTGTGTGTGTGTGTGTGTGTGTGTGTGTGTGTGTGTGTTTAATTCTGCTCTGTCCTGTAGTGTCACAGTGAGTCAAAATAGATTCAGTGGTACCCAACAAAACAACAGCAGCGTCCTTGCCTGGTGCCCAGAGAACACTGAGGAACTCTCAGTGTCGAGTCTCAAGTCCTATGCCTTCTGCTGGGCAGGCTCCAGTCCTTCATATAAGAAACACCATCCACCCAGCACCAATAAAAACCCTTGTCTCGAAGTGCTCAGGGCTCTGCCACATGGCCACTGCATCAGTGTGTGTAGAGTCCCTGCTCTAGAGCTTGTAATAAAATCCCTCATGTTCTTGCAAAAAAAAAAAAGAAATACCATCCAATTAGTCTGGCTTGGCTAGCTTTCTCTCTGAATTCTTCAGAACATTTACCATTCAAAGCACATATTAGAATCGATCTTTAGCCTCTTCCCTGGGCAGCAAACCTCTACAGAACTGAAAACTCCCAGAGAATGGTGGTTTTTCTTAGAAACGCGCCCAAAGTAACACATACACTACAATGGTGCCTGACTCCCCTCTCATCAGACTTTCCATCAGCCTGACATGGGACACAAAAACCAGGGACACAGAGGTTCATGGTCAAAACCTCTGCGGCCTGCACTCACCAGGCTCTCCATCCACAGGGAAGGCGACAGAAATGAGGAGGCCAAAAGGAACTGGGGTGGGGCAGCCGGGCACACGAAGCTCTGTGCGACCTGAAAGGGGCCGGCTCTCCACCTGGATAGGGTGATGAAAGCAGGGTCTGAGAGCAGGGCCAGCTCACACCTATGTCTCTTGCTCAGGGCCACCTATGCCTCTGTCCCAGCCTCTCAGCAGTCCATGAAAAGAGGCAGGACCTCCAGCCTTTCCTCTTTCCCAATTCTTCTACAAATGATGAGGATAAATATCTATGGAGCCTTTAAGCCATGGCCAAGGTACTGTGTTAACACTTTACATTAATCACCACACACTACCAGGATGGACATGCTTCCACCATCCCTTACTTACAGGCTGAGGAAACTGAGGATTGACAAGGCTAAATAATGTGCCAAGTATCACAAGCCTGTCAGTTGGACTGCTGAGCCTGATCCCTTAACCTCTTTCGTGCTTTGCCTAGAAGCCCCCAAACACCTGCCTCTCTTTCTCTGCCTCACCTCAATATCAGAGATGGCTGATCTTAGAGCACATGACCAGTTGACAAGCTGCCGGTTCCGGTACAAAAGGCCCTCCTTGTAGAGTCGCACAAAAGCTTCAGTCACGGCCACCGAGGAGCCCTAGGATGATCCGAGTGTTCACGTCACAGTCCCTTTCTCAGCCTGAACTCCACTCAAGACCCAAACAATCTCACTCTCCACCTTCACATCAAGAGCCCTCGTGGTGCGATGGTCAAGCCCTCAGCTGCTAACCAAAAGGTCAGTGTGGTTCCAATGTACCAGCAGATCCAAAGAAGGAAAAACCTAGCAATGTGCTCTCATAAAGACGAGAGCCTAGGAAAACCTATGGGGCACCTGGAGCATAGAGTTCTTTTCTGTCAAAGTTGGTCACGTGAGTTGGGATCCATTCAACAACACACAACACCCCTAAGACACACAACAGCTAGTTTTCTTGCATAGATCTATAAATGGCTAGTCCCCACCCTCCACCCTCAGGGACCTCAGCACCAACACTCACAGCGTCCATGGTGAAGCACTCTCGATCCCAGTCCAAGGAGGCTCCCAGCATGCGGAGCTGCTCACAAATCTCTCCACCCTTCCTGTGCCCAGAGAGAACTCTCGTCAGCAAGCACGGCCAGCACTTCTTCTGGGCCAGGCCCAGGAATGCCCCGGCAGTGCTTTAAGAATGGTGAGGATGACACTGAACCAGTCTCTAGAAGCTAATGGAAAAAGACATATAACCCCATTTGAGGCCAGCTACTAAATCAAAAGTTGGTGGTTTGAACCTACCTAGCAGTTTCATAGAAGAAAAACCTAGTTGTTCCTGTAAAGACTGTTGTTACTATGTACTGTTGAGTTGTAATGGATTCATAATTGCGCCTCCAGTGGGTTTTCAGATGCAGTTCAAGTGCATGGGAGAAGACTGCCCATCTTTCTTCCACAGAGCAGCTGGTAGATTCACACGCCGTACTTTTGGGGTGGCAAGACAACTCCTAACCACTAAGCCACCACAGATTATAGCCTAGAAAATCCTATGGGGCACTTCTACCTCACCACATGGTGAGTAAATATCAGTGTGACAATAATTAACAGCACGACAGTAAAAACAGCATAATGTTTCATAGTAACCATGGAGGCATAGCCGAATGAGGAGAAATTCAAGGAAGCTTCATAAAGGAGAAGGCATTTGAAGACAGATTTGAAAGAATGAAGGTGATTTCAACAGAAAGTTAGAATGGGTTAGGCTGTTGTTGCCACCATGCCTCAAAGCTGACCCTCCAGCAGGTTATCAGAAACTATAAATTGTAAGGGAGGAGACTACCCATCTTTCTCCTGTGGAGCAGCTAGAGGATTTGAACTGCATGCCTTTGGGCTGGCAGTGTGACTCCTTACCCACTAGGCCACCAAGGCTCCCTGAGTAAGCAGAAGAAGTGATGAAATCTAGGCAATGGAGTAAGTTTCAGAACACGCATACACACAGTTAATAATTTATAGTGAGCCCAGGTATGTTAGAGTAGAGAACTATGCTCTGGAGGGTTTTTGATGGCTGATATTTTACAAATAAATCACCAAGTCTTTTTGCTAAAGCACCTTTGAATGGGATTGAACCTCCAACCTGTCTGTTACTATCTGAACTTATTAACTAGTACCACCAAGGGCCCCACCGGAACACAGCTGGAGTTTAAAAAGATTTGCTGAGAATAGGATACCGTTTTTGCCCTAAATGTCATAACTTCACACAGGACATTAGCCCAATGCTGTCTAATAAGAACTATAATGCAAACCGCATACATAAGCTTTCTAGCTGTCTTGTGCCATCAAGTCAAAACCAAGTCATAGCTGACCAGTCAGTGGGTTTTCAGAGGCTACCAATAGCATGGGAGGAGACTGGTTGCCCATCTTTCTCCTGTGGAGAATCTGGTGGATTCAAACCTCCTGCCTTTATGTTGACAGAGCAATTCCTTACCACTAAGCCACCCTTAGTGCCCTAAACTTTCTAGTTGTTGTTGTTGTTGCTGATTGCCTTCAAGTCAAACATGACTTATAGCAACCCTATGAACAAAGGCTTGAAGCCTTTTCTATAACTAGCAACATTTATCAAAGTTCATAGAGTTTCCGGAGGCATGTTGTTTAGGAAGTGAATGCCACTCCTGCTTCCAAACTTTCTAGGAGTCACACTGAAAACATAAAAGTAAACCACTGAATTTCATTTTTATATGCCATTTACTGCATTGGGAAAGTCGGCTGTGAGGGACCTCTCAAGAGTACTGAAGAGCAACAACGTCAGGCTGGAGACTAAGGTGTGCCTGATTCGGGCTATAGTCTTCGCAATTATGTGCTATGCATCAGAGAGTTGGACAGTGAATAGGGTTGATAGAAAGAGGACTGATGCCTTTGAGCTGTGGTGCTGGAGAAGAGTGTTGAATATACCATGGACTGCTAGGAGAACAAACAGGTTTGTCCTGGAGAGGGTGAAGCCAGAGTGTTCCCTGGAGTCAAGGATTCTGAAGCTTCATCTGACATATTTTGGGCATGCTGCAAGGAATGACTGGTCCTTGGAGGGGGACATCATGTTTGGCAGAGTGGAGGGGCGGCAAAGGAGAGGAAGACCTTTGGTGAGATGGATCGATTCTGTGACTGGAGCGGTGGGAATCAGTGTGTTTGAGATGGCTAGGTTGGCACAGGATAGAACAGCATTTAGAGCTCTTGTACATAGGGTCACTATGAGTCACAAGCAACCCGATGGAACATAACAACAACAACAACAACATGCCATTTAAGCCAAAATAGCTACAAAATAGTTTTGGGCCAACATTTGCTATGAAATTAATTCCTACTCATGGTAACCCCAGGAATGTCAGTCAGGACTGACTTGACAGCAATTAACCATAACTTATTTAACTACACACACACACCCCTTTCAGTTAGTGGTGGTGGTGGTGCTGTGTACTGTTGAGTCAGAACCAACACACAGCTGACCCTCCAGAGGGTTTTCAGAGGCAGTAAATTGCACAGGAGGAGGCTGTCTATCCTTCTTTGGCAGAGCAGCTAGTGGATTTGAGCCACTGATGTGCCTTTGGGATTGCAGTGCAGCTTCTTACAATACAACATCACCAGAGCTCCTGTCAGTAGTCAAGTACAAATTAATCAGACCACTCAGGACCCAGAGAACTATTCATATACACACATAGACATGACATTCCACATACACATTGAGTATTAAGAAATAATGCTCTTAGAACTAAAGTGCTAAGAGGCCCTACAGATTTCGTTCCCGATACAAATTCAAACTGACATGGGAAAAGCCACACACTGCAAATAAGGAAAAGAATGTGACTGGAAACTCAGAACCTAAACCCAATCTCTCAGCCCCTAGTACTTGTACTCACTCCTCCTTCCACTTCCACACCTCCTTCAGGAAGGCTTCCCGGCTCAGATCATGTCTCCTCACACCCCGCTCTTTCCACAGCTGTTTCTCCACCACAGCCTAAGGTAGGATAAAAAGCTAATAAGCTAAGAATAAGGTTGTTGGGAGGACATAAATCTTTTTCATTAGAAAAGGAAAAAACAAGGGGGAAAAAGCATACTTGCGTAGCTATTCCCGCGTGATCTGAACCAGGGACCCACAGCACCTGATCCCCACGCATCCGGTGCCTGTAGAACAATGTCCTCACATAAACTCCAGTTTCCATTATTCCTCCTGCCTTCTACCTCCTGCCCCACCCCCCACTGCTGCCTCCCCTCCAGGACACTGAAGCAGTCCCATGGCCCCCTCACCAGCGCACGAGGGCATCCTGTATGGCCACCGTGAGTGCATGGCCAATGTGCAGAGACCCAGTGACATTAGGAGGTGGGATACACATAGAGAAGGTCTCCCCTGTGGCCTGGGGCAGTCGTACCTAGAAAGGAAAACAACCAAAGGGCAAGAGATTAGATATTACCTGGGGGAACAGCACCCTCTGGTGTCTCCCAGGAGAGCAAGAACTGCAGAGAAAAAATGAGCTGCAGGTTAACAGAAGAGCCTGCCAAGAGCAACATTTGGGGTTGCTCAGGGGCCCAAAGATAAGCTCATCCACATTTATTTGGAGCAGGCTCTAGGTGGCCACAAGCTCCAGACTCTAGACCACTCGGTTCCCTCCCTGTCAGGTACTAACCTGATACTCTGGTTTGAAGAAGCCCTCTCGTACCCACCAGGAATACCAGGAAGCCTCAACATATTGGGGGCTGTATGCAGGAGGCAGAGGACTGGAGACATCTGTAAAGGCAGAGCAGAGTTCTGCTAACTACTGAACTTTGTTTTCATGCTGCATTTCAGCAGACCAACCAGCAACAAGAATGACAGGAAAAGCCTTCAAGTTCCTGATTTACCTTTCTTTTCACCGGGTTCCGTGGGAATTTCATACAAAACTTTCTCCTTAGGAGCCCAGGCCTTACTGGATCCTGCAGGTGACTTAAGTGTGGAGCCAGGCATCATCAGATGGGGAGAGTGCAATTCTCACTATCCTCCTACCTGAATCCCAGCTCCTCCCTCTCCCTCTGCTTCTCAGGGACTCAGCTGTTTGACCCCTAACCTTGTCCTTCCTCGTTATCCCAGCCTCCAGCGCTGCCTGCCTCTCCCGCAGGCGCTTCTGTTTTGCTTCACGGTTCCTCCTGGAGATGGAGGATCCATGGGGCTCTGGCTGGGTGGACACAGGCCGAATCCGGGGGAAGGCCGCGGAGGGCCGCAGCCCCCAAAGTGGCAGTCGAAAAGAAGCCAGGGGCACATGTGGCATCAGGAGTATCTCGAAAGGGCCCGGATCTGTACTAGATAGGGTGCATTAGGCTACTAGGATATAAGGGCACGATCTCATTTCTAATTATACCTGCTACCTCAATTCTTGCGCCCTAATCCCTGCTAGACCACGTACTTAATTTTAAGTATAGGTCCAGTGCAAGGACTACAGTGCAGTGGCAGGGGAAGGCCCCGGTGTCATGACTTCTTCGGGGCAGGGGCAATCTCTGGTCAACAACACGTGTCTGCACAGTGCTGGTAACGTAGTGCACACGGGGTGGGGAAGAAGCGGGGGAAAGATGGTCATCAGCACGCTCTGGACTGGGCAAGCAGTCCCACTGATTCAGAGATCTTAGCAGACAAGTGGGGTCCGCCATGTCCCAAGCCCTGCGCAACATCGCCTCCCCTCCCAGCCCTGATTCCCACCTCCTGAAGCTGCTACAGCGCGTGCTCACCAGCCCACTCAGCCGCACCTACGGGGACCTCCAGGCCGGGCGCAGAGCCCGGGGCCGCAGCGAACACAAACCAGCAAAGGTCGCCCAGGCGTGCGCGGCGGTAGGACTCCGGCCCGCTCGTACGCCTGCGCAGCAGCCAGGGCTTACCCCGCCCCCTCCCCAAGCGGCCCAATAGCGTCCGGGCCGAGAAGAGAGCCGCCTCGGAGGGGGCGGTATCTATCGCTGGGCGGGGCCTAGGCCATCGGATTCATTTCCAAAACTTTAATAAACAAGAGGTTCCCAACGTGTAAATATTTTACAAAAAAATAACCCTGAGTTCCGAGGCCCCCTGCGCGCGGCCGGTTCTGCCCGCCCGGTTCCCCGCACATCAGGAGCTGTGCTTCTGCCGCTTCCAGAAGCGCTTGACGTCGCTGTGCCCGGCCGGCGTGACCACCATGAGCCGCTTGGCCGAGTTCTCGAACACGAGCACGCCCAGCTCCCGAGCGTGGGCCAGCAACAGCTCGAAGTCCACCTGTGACAGGAACTGGTTGTACAGGACGCCTAGGGTCCGCAGGGCAAGGGAGGGAGGAAGGAGAGAGACACAGCGTGAGACCCTGCTCCAGCTCCGCGGAGAGGACTTCCGGTCCCGTTTGCCATCCCACCACCAAAAGTGCAAAACTAATCTTGTCCACTCTGGGACTGTGATTCAACCAACTATATTCTGGACAATGTAAACTAAAGGAGACAATTTGTGGATTCTATTTTCCTTCTAGATAAATCCAACTTGCACGGATTCATGTAACGGATTTATTTACTGTTCACCGCCCTCCCCAACATAACTGTCTTGCCAGCATTGTTCTGGTTCCACCAGTAACAATAAAAAAATAATAAAACAGGTGAGTTTTTCCCAGCTCATCAAGACTTAATGGCCCATCGGGCTAATGATCAGGACTCACCCCCATCTCTCCAACCACTCACCTTCAGTGAACCGGAGCCTATCTCTTTCCAGCTCCCACAGTCGAATCTGATCAGTGATGGTTGGGGGCAGCACAGGAGTCTGCAAGGGCAGAGAGTGGCTGTAAAGATTCAGGGTGACTGTCCAGCCCCGTCCAATGGCCCCTATTCATTCCCCAGACTTGGATGCCTCTCTCATTCCCACCATTTCATCACTAAGTATCTGGGGTTGCTGGCCTTCAACATCATGGTACCTAGTTTATACCTGTTTGAGCATCACTGGGTGGGCCCTCGTCCTTAAGAAATGGATGATCTAGGAAAGTAGACAAGAATGGAATCAGGGATAGAGTAAGAGGGCAGGAAAACACTCTTAGCCATCACTCAATGTCACTGAGTATCAATGTACTGTGAAAAAACACATCACCACATCCCTCCATATATGTGCCTGTCACCATCCCTATTCCGCTATTCTCCCAAGTTGCTGGTCTGGTTACTTGTGTCTGCTCTTTTTTGGCACACTGATCTCTTCTAGAGCCTAGTTTTGCTCTCCTATCTTTAAAGCTGTAGCACTCAATTTTTAAAATTTTATTTACTTTATGGCAGGTGCTATGCTAAATGTTTTTATCTTTATTCTCTTTCTGAATCTTCCCAACAACCTGTGAAGTAGGAACTGTCATTATTCCTGTTTCCCAGACAAGGTTCACAGAAGTGAAACCTCGAAGCCTGGCTGATAGAACAAAGAGGTAATGGTGTCCATACATAAATCCAGGTTTCACCTCCTCCCTCCATGTCTTTTTCTCTTAAGGTTCTACCCGTTCCCACACCAAGAGCCCTAACTTCTCCTGTGCCTGGTGCTCAAATAGAGACAACTCTCCCACTACCTACTGCAATAGGCCTGCTGCTAACCTTCCAAATGTACCTTGCTTGTACCCCAGAGAAGTACAAGGCCCATCTTCCACTTCTCTTAAGTGGGGATACCTGCTGGGCTGTGATGCCACTGGCAATGGCCTGCTGCACACTCTCCCGGGTCACCTGTGCCACCACCATGTTGGGGAAGCGATAGAGCATCTCAGAGAAGAGGGCAATGAGAGCGATCTGCAGCTCCGACTCTGACAGGGTAAGAAGAGAGGCTGAGGACACCCCATCCAAACCTCAAGCCCATCCTTCACGTATGAGAACACCAGGGAGCTGTGTGAACCACAGGCATCTGCTAGATGTGAACATATATTAGCACTCCCTACTGCACATTCTACTCCTCACCCCAACCTGCCCTTCCTCACCGGTATAGGCATATAGTCGGTAATTGGTTTCCACAACAATGAAACCAGGTTGATGTGCTGTGCCTCCAGCACCAGAGACACCTGATGAGAGATTGATAGCCAGACGTGTAGGGTAGTAACGCCGAGACTTCCTCTGGAAGGACAGAAGGGGAGGGTGGAACACCTTCTCTCAGATGTCACTGGTTGATAGCTTTCTACCTGAACCTGAGCCCTCCCACTGCATACAACTTCAGTTCCAACTTCCCACCCCACCAGGGTTCCAGGTACGCAGTGCTGACAACTGCTTCCCACAACCACCTCCTGAGACCTTCCCTTTTTCTATAAAACCAAAGCAACACACCGCCCTGGCCCTTCCCTAACACTGTGTATGTGGGTGCTCTTACCTTCCTCTGGAAAACAAGTCCAAACTCACGCAGATGTTGCAGGAAGTTCAACAGAGAATCACTCATACCTTCTACAGAATAATCCTAAAGAAAAGAGGTGGACAGGTGGGGTCCAAAACACATCCCCTTCTCTCTTCCTCAATCCAAAATTCCTCTTTCCCATCTCTGGTCATTTTTTAAATTCAATCTTATCTCCTCAATCCACTGCTCTATAACTTGATTTCCTGTCACATTAACTTAATCTTCAATCCACTCACCCAAGGCCCCTGCTTACCTTGCCGAGAGTAGAGAAGCTAAGCTGGAAGAGGAAGGAGAGAATCTCCACAAGGTCCATTCCCCGGCTCTAGGGAGGAAGAAGACACAAAAAGGGAAGGATAGGAGGAAGAAAGAAGAGGCAAGAGAAGAGAAAAATCTTCTAAGGGAAGAGAAAAATCTTCTAAGGGAGTGAGTGGCTGGGTCTCTCATTGGGAGTGGTCTTGGGAAAAGCAGAGTATGATGGCAAGTGGCTTACCTGGGCTGTCTGCAGATACTGAAGCATAAAATACCAGAGCTGGGTGGGCGTATCCAGCAGCAGAAACTGGAAGCCAGCAGAAGTAATGCAGGGGGGCTCTCCAGGTTCAGCACTAGCACACACAGGGAGAAAGGTAGAGCTTTGTAGATATCATCCCCACCTGCTTTCTCACTTTTTTTGGTCATTTTTATGTGGGGTATCTATGGTCTTACTCCACCCTATTCTCCCTTCTTCAGTCAATCTCTCCAATCCTCATCCTCCCCAGACATCCAGGGAACTTAGCAGGAAACTAAGGAGACAGCAAAGCAGGAGCCATTGTACCTCTTCATAAGCCCAGCCTGGATAAGAAGCTGGGCCAAGTCCTGACTGACAGCAGCACTAGGGGAACCGACCATGAAGTGCAGAACCACCTGAAGAATGGGAGAAAACAAAGCAACTGATCCTTCTAAGAACTAACAGCAAATAGCACAAGCGGAGGCACATACACAGTCTCCAGTCCTCACCTCCCATCGCTCCTCAGCATACTTGTCCAGAGAGGGAACATCTCTTGCATGCTTGTCTGGTCCTAGCTGACTTGTGTCATCAGACCAGGCCTTTCCCCTATGGCCGGGACGGGACAAGAGTAAGGAACCTGGACTATGTTCCCCACCCACCACATGCACCCTTTTCCACCCTCATTCCCATAGGCTATGAGTGGAAGACACTTATTTGGGGTAGGGATATCCCAATTAATCCAGCATTTATAAAGGAGTTACCAAAGGTACATCTACCCTCAGATGCTAGGCCCCACGAATATTAATTATCATTTCCCCTGTTCTACTTTAGGAGGAAATGGAAGTGACATACCCACCCAGGAGGGCAATGCGGAGGTTCTGGCGGAAGATGGGGTTGAGGATAAGGCCCTGGAGACCACCAGGGAGCAGCTGGGTGTGCCAGATACGGAGGCCACTCAGCAGCCCTGTACTTTCCTCCTGAGCCCTGAAATAGAAACAAGAGAAGTATCTGAAACAGTGGAGTATCTGAAGAACAAGACTCAAAACTCACTGCTCTTGAGGTGGTGCCCCCTCAGAGCTGACCCTGGAGGTTTTTAGAGCCTGTAAATCACCCAGGAGGAGACTGTCCATCTTTCTTCCAAGAAGCAGCTGGTGGATTTGTATTGGTAGCATTAGCTAATACATTAGAGTAAATAAATAAAAAGCTAATATATTAGACTTTGGATTAGCAGCCTTACCTATTAGGCCACCAGAGCTGCCTGGAGAACAAGAAAGAAGCCTAAACATGCTTCTATTTCTGCCCTTTCTGAATCAGATCCTTCTAATACCATGCTACAGTGCGAAATCTGTATATTCTCAAATCCCTTTACTGTAAGACGTATCAGAGGAGCTCTGGTGGCACAGTCCATAATGATTTGCTAACCTAAAGGCTGCTTTTGTCCCACAGTTCAAATCCAACAGCAGATCTAAGAGAGGAAGATGGGCAGTATCCTCCTGTTGCAATTTACAAACTCAGAAACCTAGTGGAGGTTCAGTATGGGTCAAGACCAGCTCGATGGCAATGAACGAGTGAAGACATAGCAGAGCCTCCCAATATACATCATATTCTCCCAAGAGGTAAAACACAGCAGGTAGAGTTTCCCCAAACTTAATTGCAAGCTTTGTGGCATAATACTTCCTAAAAACATTACAAGAAATAGAAGTTTGGAAAATACAGCTGCTGGGAAATATGTGTCTGGCCAAGAATGCTGTAGACTCACTTGCTGAATTCCTTTTTCACCCACAGGGCTACAGCAGCTTGTGGCAAAGGCTGTTCCAGAAAAAGCATCCGCATCACCCAGTTCTTAGCCAATGGTGGGAGCTCCCTAATGAGGAGCAGAGGTCAAGTGTTAATGTCAGAAGCTGTCTTATCTCTGTATTGATGCCATCAAAGGCCTCTCAAATGTCGGTTTGAATCCACCAGATGCTCTGCCGGGGAAGGAGGGGCCATCTCCTGTACCAGTCAGATCTGATTTGACGGTACACGCACACAAAAATAATAAAATAAAAAAATATTTTTTTAAAAAAAGGCCTTTCAAATGTGTCATCTCATCCCTCACACTTTTATCAGTCCTACTGCCCCCACAAACTCCATCTATTTTGGCTTGCTACCCTTCTGAGCAATCTCCAAATCCCCAAGGTTGCTAAGCTTCATGATCCATGATAGAGAAGTTCTCTAACTTACTCCAGTGTAAAGGCCCTCACTATGTGATCCCTACCATGACAGATATCCTCACCTGAAGACAGCTAGGCAGGTGGCAGGGTGCCCATACAATCGGTCCAATACCCCAGGGCTCAAGCCTCCTAAGAATTCTTGAAGATTTCGGCATTGTAGGTGCACTCGATTCAGTCCACCCCTTGATGGGGTGCTCTCCATCACCTGAGAGATGAATTGTAAGAAGACCATCCTCATCCATCCAGTATCACCCTGCCTTTCTTATTCTGAGTCCAGATGCAGCCACCTCCACAACTTACCACCTTTTCTTTGGTTTCCTTTTCCATAGCACTCATCTCCCTGTTTCTCCCAAACTTCACAACCTTCCCTCTTTTCTTGCCTCCTCACTATTGCTGCCCTCAATCCTAGTGCAAGATTCCTAATGATGAAATTATACATTGTCCCCATTTGCAAAATCATTCTGTATTTCAATGATTTGTCTCTCTTCTAGCTGAGCAATAATTAAATCTTTTTGAGGCCAACCATCTCCCCTCATTCCATACTCCCTGGTCAGATAAGCCCCATGAGCTCCAAATCTGTCAATCCATCTTCAACTTCTTGGCCCCATTTCTCTTGCTAGGGATGGTAAAAAATTGTCTGTCCTCTCCACCTATTTTCCCCAAGTGTCTTTTACTCAATTCACTCTGATCTCACATATTCCTATTTTCTAACTTCTCTCCAACTTTCCTTCTACTCCTCGCCTCTCAATAAATTGTCTCTCTCCTTCGCCACCCCCCCGCTCTTCTCACCACTTACTATCGATACCCCCTCGTGTACCCTGAGCCTCGAGCCGTCGCTTAATGAGAGTTGATGTCTCGCATTGACTCCCGGAGATAAACGACGGACTGTTTAAAGATGCAGTAAAGACTTGGAGAGAGACGAAGGCTCTCACAGACCGAAACCTAGAGGGAGGATTCAGAAAATAAGAGACTAAGTAGGAGAATGAGGAGGAGACAAATACGTGCTGCACTTCATCGCAGGGTATACTGGGAACTGGAGTCCTGTTCTCCATTCCTAACGTGGATGAAGCCATTGTCTGACTACATCTCCCAAAAGGCACCGCGAGGAAGCGGGGAGGAGAAAAGCTGGTTCTCAATTGAAAGAGCCAGAGACTCGTATAGCCTGGCGATTTTGTTCCGCGGTACTGCCTCAGTCGTTGCTAACAGCAAATCTAGCAGACCTGGGCGGGACTCCGGAGTAGAGGGGCCCTGAGGGCTTCCAGATGAAGGCGTCCTAGGGAGGCATGGTGGTGTGGCATTTAGGTTTAGAGACGTGGTAAGCTAGCTTCCTTGAGCTCAGTTTCTCCCTGGAGAATTAGAATAATGCACAAACCAGTGTGCGCACGGTTTAGTGCGCCTTACTTGGCATGTGAGAATTTGTTAACTCTGAATTCTACAGAACATATATCACCCTGAAACTTGAAGATAAGCTGAGATTTGGATATGATAGAAATCTCTTCATTGTTGTACGAGGAGAGATGGAGGTTCTTGAAGAAGCTCTTAAAGTCGTGTAACCCTGGTATGTCCACTTGCTGTACAGAGGTAACTCGCGGTTGCTGTGAAGCCGAATACTGTTACCCATTGTGGACAGTGTTTGGTGAAGCTCCCCGATCAAAACAAGCTTGGAAGCAGGAGTGGCATCCACTTCAACAATATCTATGAACTTATAGCTGGAACCAATAGCTGGAAACCCTATGAACCTGGAGAAAAGACGAAAGTTACACAGGAAGTGTCCAGGACTTTGGACGGCACTTAACAACAATCGTCATTAAGGGAGTGGGGGAGTTGTGTGCAGGACCTCCCAGGTGGTACTGTCAAAGAAGGTGGCACCAAAATGACTGCCTGGAACGTTTTTTGTGCGGTGCTTCAGCAGAAATTTGGTTTGGGGGATTTTTTTGTGTACAATATTCCTTTAGTTATAACAACAACAAAAAAAACATTTTGGTAAACGCAGTTCACATTTATAAATTTACTTTTTAACTATTTGGTGCACGCTAGTCAGAGTTGTCCTACCTATCCAATTATACTTCAAGTGTAGCTTGTTCTGCATGTTGTTGCTGTGTACCATGGAGTCGGAACAGACTCATAGCTGACCCTTCAGCGGGTTTCAGAGGCAATTGATCTCACGGGAGGAGATTGCCCAACCTTCTCCTGCCGAGTAGCTGGTGGATTCAAACTGCTTGCCTCCGGGAGTGCAGCGCAGCTTCTTGCCCGTGTCGTGCTCATTTGGTAGTTGTTTTCCATCACTACTATTGCCATTACTTTCAGTGATATACAGAAACTACAATTTATTAGTAACATTAGCACACAAAAAATTATTAAGGTTTATTGTCTGGTATTCAGGTCCACAGGAGTTAGCAAATTGGACACCAACCATAGTGTTGTCACTGCTTCCACCTCCACCATATAGCCACCATTTAGTTAAAATATCCTAATAAATAATTATTTTTAAGAAAGGAAACAAATAGTTTGTTCTGACTTGACTTATGAACTTATTCCAGAGAAAGGGGAGGAAACACATTCAGTCAAGGCTAAAGTACCTATCTCCTCAAGTTCTATAGAACAAGTTTTATCATTCTCATTTTACAAATTTGAATACTGAAGACCAGCAAGATTTTATTTTTTGTGAATCTAAAAATATTTTTATTTCTCAATTAGACATTCCAGACAGCATTAAAATTTTCATAAGACAAAATACTCAAAGAGAAGCAGAGAAATTTAAAAAAAATTCCTGAATTCTAAATTTTTTGTACAGTTGTTATGTGCTGTGGGGTCAGAACTGACGTATAAGACCAACAGGTTTTAAGATTCTATATTTCACACCAGAGGAGATGGTCTATATTTCCCCTGTGGAGCAATTTGTGGATTCAAACCATTTGCCTTTTGGTTGGCAATGGACCTTTATTTCAATGAGTATCAATTGGGGTTTTGGGTTTGTTTGTTTGTTTGTTTTCATTTTCACTATTACTTGCAGATGTAGCTAACAAAGATCCTCCTATATCTCTACTGTTATTGTTGTTGTTAAGAGTCGTAGGTGACACATATTGACCCTATGAAGGAGAGTCCTCGACCTTTCATCCTCTCTCCAGGTTCATAGGGTTTCCGGAGGCAAGCTGTTATGGAAGTGGATGCCACTCCTCCTTCCAAGCTTGTTTTAAGCGGGGAGCTCCACCCCACTCTCTGTCCGCATTGGGGAGCCAACCATTAACGCATTTGAAACATCTGTCACAGTGTTCAGCCTCACAGCAACAAAAAGTGACCACTGTACGCCAACTTGTACACCAGGGCTATACAACCTATATCTCTACTACTGTTGAATTATTTTTTAAAACTTTATGTTAATTAATTTTATTTGGATGAGAATTTACATATATTATTGGATTTTCATTCAATTATTCATATATATTTTGTTTTATACTGTTAATTAAAATTTATTATTATCTTAATTACCATATCTTATTAACTCCTTATTATATAGCAACTGCATTTCCTTCATTCAATTTATTTATTTATTAACTTTCACTTCTCTCTCTCCCTTCCTATCTCTGGCAACTATCCTCCACAGTATAACATAACAGCTCTTACTTTTTTTTTTATGTAAAGTTTTCCTTGACCAGCAAGATTTTTAAAATTGCTTTTGATTAAACAGCTTGTAGTAGTTGCCAGAGCTGAGTTTTGAAGCACATTTGCAAGGAAGCAAGAGACCCAGGATCAAAATAAGACTTTGTATACTTTTTATTCCCTAGCTGCTCCTTTGCAGTAATTGGTTAAAGTCCTCAAAACATAAGGAAAAACTGACAAAGCTTCCTTATGGCAACAGTTAGATAAAATTAAAAGATACATTGTATTCTGGGAAAAAATATGTTTGATAAAATAGGGGAAAAAAACAAAAATAGAAGGAACACAAAAAAGATCAGCACAATAAGCATAAAAATTACAAATGCCTTACAAACAGATGAAAAAATTCTCAATATCACTAGTAAGTAGAGAAAATAAAGAAAACAATCAGAAATTAAACAATAAAAATCCAAGATTAGCACATACAATAAAAAAAGATTGGCAGATTTAATGTACCAGGCTGTAGGAACATGCTCATACACTTTTTTCTTTCTTTTTTTCCACTTTTTGTTCAAGGCTGACTTTTTTTCATTGCCATCCAATCAGAATCGACCCATTACTCACCCTCCAGCAAGTTTTCAGGAGGCTATAAATCACATGGGAGGAGATCGCCCTTCTTTCTCCAATTGAGCCACTGTTGGATTTGAACTGCCATAGTGGTGCCAAAATTGATTTAACACTGCCAACTCCTACAGACTACACCCCCAGAGTTGAGCATGCTCCTTTAAGGGTAATTTGGCACTATGTATCAACAATTTGCACATGAGTATCTGATGATCTGTTCTACAGTTGGTGTCTTGTCTTGTTTTGACTACCGATACTGAGTTTCTCCACCATATCTTTACACAGATGTAATCAATTTGATTCCTGTGTATTCTCTCAGGAGAGGTCCGTGTGTCTAGTTGCCATTTATGTTTTACAAAAAAGATAAGTTGCAACGAATAAGCCATTAATTGTACAAAATACTATCATGTGATCTCCAGCCTCATTTCTGTCATCAGCGCCTTATTTTCCAACTACCTGTCCTGCTTATTTTTTCCACTTTTGCATTCCATTCACTAATTCTTTTTAATGCATCTTATTGCATATCCAATTAATTTCAGACAGCAGGAGTTGGCATAAATCCCGTTTCTCCATCTTTAGGTACATATACTTGAATAGCAATTCTAATAATAGATCTTCCTCGTATGCATATGGAGGTTAGCCTGTCATGGCAGCCACCTTGAAATGTTCTCTTTGACAATAAATGCCAAGCTATACTTGGACCAAGAGGCAGTAGTCAGAACAGAGCAGGCTAACACTGCATGGTTCAAAATAGGGAAGGGTGTACGCCAGGGATGCATCCTGTCTCC